TTTTTTTTTATATGGATAGACAATTTCTGAGATAGAATTATGCGTCTAAAATCTGATGAAAACTGCGAGTCACTCCTCAATAACATGAAAAGTTTTATAACACGTCATGTAAGTGTAATTATTTTGCAAATCCACCCGAAACTGCAATTCCTTCACAATATATAGTAGTTACATATATTGTTTCGTTGAACCTACAAAGGTGCGTTTGAATTCTCTCTAGTTAGTCTATAATTGAATCGGCATCCTGGGTTCGATTATTGACTTCTTATATTTTTGTTTTGTTAAATTCATAATTTGATAAGCTAATTCTTAGCTAACAGGTCTACATTTGTTAAGTTTACATTGCCGTTTTTATAATAAACATTTTTGTCCTAAGTCATAGGTTAAAAATTGTCCTACTAATCGCAAATATTTTAAAACCTATCACTTAGTTGTAACGTAAATGCGCTTAGAAAGTGCTTTTGTCATGAATTACGTTCATATTTAACAAATCTCACCTCTTTCAATGCTTATTTCCCAAAATCATTATGTATGTACATATGTACATATGTAGGTATGTATGCAAATGTTTTTACATTTAAATTTTGTAATATATCTTGCTATATAGTAGGTAAGCTTTATGCTCTCAATAACTATATGCTTATATATGTACTTCTATGTAGGTGTGTGTGTATTAAACAAGTTATAATATGTTTAGCGCATTGCGTTTATATTGCAGTTTATCCATTCGTTTTAGCAGCCAGTTAGTTCCACCCACTATCGACTATGGATTAATGACTGTAGACTTAAATGAAAAATAGTTCCTCTCTTTTGCCGCAGTCATTTATTTGGCACTCAAACATCGATTGGGAAGAAGTCTTTGAGCAGCGTGGTTCGACGCTTTTCAGCAATATCCATTTGATTTTCCAAGTCACCTAAATCAGTTGTTTCTGCACGTTCGATCTTCCATGAAAGATTTTCAATTTCCGCCTCAAGTTGTGCCTTAAAATAAATTAAGTACATGCATGAATTAAATAAATTGACATAATTATTGTATTAATTTTTTTATTGAACCAAAAATAAGACTAAAAACTGTGTGACCACTGAAACCATTCCACTTTGTTTTTATGCCAAATGATGCCCTTAACCCCAATGAGAACTTTGATTTCCCAAAAGAGAAAAAGGAAATCGATTGAGAGATGTTTATTCGTTCGTTTGAAAGTCTATACGATAACTCGTGTAAAATTTATGATATGTAGATCAATGAAAATCGACGTGTCCACAACCCTTGGTTTAAGGTAATTTGGTATTGGAAATGGGCGAAAGCAGTTTAAAACCACGCCTACCTCTCGTATAGCGGCATTAAAAATGCATACAGAGTTACGAGTAACCTTTAAGAAAGCAAATTTTTTTTTTATCAAAGTTGGTTTTGGTTTGTGGATCAGCCATGTGATGCGTTTAGTATATTCATGCATAACGCTGCAAGACACTTATGCTCTCCATAAATAACACAAATGTTCTGAGCTCTGAAAGAACTAGGAGAAATTATGAAACTTTTTAATGGAGCAACCCTTGTGCACTATTAAAATTTGCATTAACATTGGACTAGTTGTACTTTTATGAAATAATACTTAGAATCAAAAACTAATGAGAATCTACTCACTTGCTGATACTCGAAAAGATCCTTTCGTGAACCGCTTTCCATAAAGTATGCATATGGATATGTATACTGCAGCGTATACCGACATTTCGCTAACAAGGCTGCAGCGTTGAACAAATACTGCCAATCGATCCATGTACCCCGTCCTTTCATTACTTTCTCGTTGATTCGCTCACGCAGTCGATCAATGGTTTGTTGTTCCAATTGTAACGATTTCGAGTGGTTCTCCCAGCGTTCATAGTAGTGCAAATACTTTTTCAGAGCTTCCCGAGCTTGTACATGCACCGATTCGTTGGCAATGTTCGGATTATCCTTATAGCGAGAACACTCATAGTATTCGGATCCATGCGTCTTCCAATCACCTAGACACATCCAGCAAAAGTCATGCTTGCAGTTAAAGCATTGCATATGATTACAGCCTCCATTTTTTTCAATACAGATGTGGCATTTTGGGCAGTCTTTTGTGTTAGCGCTAATGTAATTGGCTGTTTCACTATCGTCGGCACATTTCGTTAGCCATTTTTTGATGACTAAACAGTCAGTGGGCGCGTGGTAGTCCATACCACACCTGAAACAAAATGACGTATGGCAAGAAGTGCATATGACGCGCTTTGCACAGATTTCCGGTGAACGTACTATAATTTGGCAATTTGGTCCGGGACAGAAACGCAACTGGGGATGGGACTTAACATAGTCCTTAAAGGCGAACTGTTGGTACTTGTCGCGCATTACGGGGCGTGTCACTAGGGTTAACACCAAATCTTCAGGAACACGCACATTACACATTGGAGCCATGCAGCCGATTTGTGTGGAAATTCCTTGGAAGATTTGAGTATCAAAAAACATTGACCAACAGTCTTTGCAGAAAGCATGACTACAAGCAAGGCTAAAGAATTTGTCACCCAGTTGTGAACTGGCACATACTGGGCACATTTGACTGCGATACGACGTGGGACCACCACCAGGCGTCGATGCGTTATATACACCTACTGGAATCAATGAGCTGCGTGGCTGGTCGCCAATACCACTATTATTACTGTAGGCGATTGCATCTTTGCTGGTGGATGGTGCTGTTGGGTCAGGTAGACTAAGCGTTGGATTAGGCGGTTTAATACGAGCAGTTATAAGCAGAGCATTGGCATCTTCTCGATATTTATCAACCACAACTTGATTGTCCCATTCGTGTTCAAGCAGCAGCACTTTCGCTAGTGACGGAGTAATGTGTAGGATCGTGTTAAGCTTTTCTACTGATTCATTTAGCAATTTTTCCACTTCCTCCACCGTGAGGCATTCAAATTCAAAGTATTCGGGATCAGTTTTCTTCGGATCTAAGCGCTCTACATCTGAGTCTTCACCTACAAATTAAAATACGGAACGGGTTTTAGTTTTATTGTATTATGGCGAGTTCGTTTCTTCCAAAAAAGTGACCCTTCCCCGGTGCAAAATGTGTTGGATGTTGCACTCAACCCTGCGAATAGGCATGTTTTTGCCTTCTCGTCCTTGTCTAGCTCACGCATTTCATCATATTGTCGTTTTAAACAACCATCTAATTTGCAGGGCAACCATCTCCCCTGACAAAGCTTCGCAGGCAGTGAATTTGCCTTTTTTGCCTTACAAGAGTGTGACATTTTAAGGAACGAACACATAATTTTCTCACCCTTTGCCTTTAATTTAGAATCGAACACAAAAAGAGAATGCGGCAATCAAAAGGCAACATTTTTTGGTAGAAACGAAATCACCATTAGAAATACGATATGATACATGTTAAGATAGAATGCATGCTAGGATGCAACGAATAAATGACATTGCGATTTTCAAATCCCTTAAAGTACAAAAAAAAACCAAATCGTTGAGTGATTTTCGCCGGGCGGAGCGATGCCGTCGGGTTGCCGCTACATATACTGCAGTGCGTTTTAATTTTGACAACTTTCTTTCGACGAAGTTCGCTCAGCGATTTGATTCTATTTATTTTTTTTTAGCTAAAATATTAAACTACATACTTATTCCTAAAAATCGAAATTATCATCCCATATGGCTACATTAATTATTTTAGAATTATCCAATTTTGTTGCATACTAAGCAAATGTTTTATGTGCTTTTTATCGTATAAACATTGAATATTTTAAATAACTTAAAACTTCATAAGGTTAAGTATAAAAAAGTTAAGTACAGGCTATTTTGGAGATGTTGTTGTTGTAACATTATATAAATTTCCCAAAGAGCTTTTGGGGAATGATGCTGAAG